AGGATTCAGAAAAATGGTAAGAGTCTAATGCATATGAAGTTTGTATTCAGACAAATATAAAAATAAAAAGAAAGTATAAGACTCAATATTTTCAAGATCTTTGACCCTAGAAAGTGGGAACCAAGAGTCATAAAAGGTAACTTCTAGATTCTAAAAATGATAGGAATATACCAAAAGCACAGGGAGCTCTGGTGGCCTCATGGGTAAAGAGATGCTCTGCTAACCCAAATGCAGACAGTTTGAATCTTCCAGCTACTTCTTGAGAGAAAGATGGGCAATCTCCTGTGTGATTTACAGCCTCTGAAAACTCACTAAAGAACCACCTACTAGTCAGTTCCAAGTCGTCACATAACAACACCAAAAACACCATCACCCAGTTGATTCTGGGTTTCTGCAGCTGTACATCCATGTGGAGGAGACTGTCCATTGTTCTTCCAAGGAATGACTGCCAGCTGAACCTTTTAGAGCAGCACCCAGACCGTGTAACCCACTATGCCATTGTTGTTGTTCTTCTTGTTAAGTGTCATCAGGTCAACTATGACTCATAGTGACCCTGTGATCCATGGATCTGAACCTTGCCCATCCTCATCATCTCTGACATACTCAAGCCAACCATTACAGTCACTGTGTCAACCCAGCTCACTGAGAGCCTGCCTCCCATTCTCTGACCCTCCACCTTTCCAAGCATGACATCCTTTCCCAAGTATGGTCCCCTTCTAACAACATGCCCAAACTATATGAGACAAAGTTTTACTATCGTTGCCTCCAATGACCTGGATGCCCCTTTAGGGCGCGTTAAAAAACACTCATTGTCACTAAGTCCAACTTTTTATAACCTTCCACTGGGTTTCCAACACTATCACATCTTTACTGGAGGGGACTGCCCATCTTTCTCCCATGTGGCAACTGGTGGATTAAAATTGCTGACCCTTGGGTTAGCAGTCCAACACACTATGCATATACCACGAGATGTTAAGTGGTAACAGGGGTCTAAAAAAGAAAAGTGGGCAATGGGTGATAGTTGCCAGTGGACCAGAGAGAAAAGAAAGAACTCTGGCCTTTAAGCCCTGGGATTAGGTACAAAACTGTATGTGGTAATATGAACTGGAGAAGGAGCTCTGCTCTTTGGAGCTGGAGTTTTAGGTTCAAATCACCAGCTTGGTGACAAGTCACTTAGTCTCTGTGTTCCTCAGTCTTCTAATAATTACAATACTGCAACATGGATGTTATCATCTATTCGGTTGTAATTACTACCATGAATATCATTATTGTATCATTCAACTAAGCGGCAGGACTGGGCAAAGTAAGTACTTTATAAGTATTGGCCACTTTAATTCTTAAAACAGTAGCATTACTGAGATAATGAATAACTCATGTAAAAATTTCAGCCCTGAGAAGATGGTAAATGTTGACTCCTTCTCTGTTTTTTTTTTACAATTTTATTTATAACAATATCTGTGTTTAGTTGTTCCTTCTGTGTTTTTTAATCCCCTTTAATTCAACATATCTTAGTGAAGTTCAGTTTGTGTTCTGTGCCCAGAGACAGATAAGAGGCCAATCAAACCCAGGCCCTCCCAAGCACCATTAGAAACTTCTATTTCTTAAGGGCTAAAGAACTTTCCCACAGGAATGAAGACTTCTCTTCTGAAATGTAAAGCTAACCCAGTGTCTGGTGGAGGATGTTAGGCAGGGATAGGGCAAGAGGTGATGAAGCTAAACTGGAAGACCTGACCCAGGTGAGGTCATGAGTGGGTGAGAGGTGAGGGCAGGAGTGTTTTAGACAGCGCTCTAATAGTGCAATTGATTGACAATGAGAGATGGGGGTTTCAGGAAAAACAGGACTACAGAAAAGATATCTAACCCCTGTGCCAGCAGCAGAACTGGAACAAGAGTCAAGAGATTGGAGTTGTCATCCCTGCTTGGTGACTAGATTGATGATGTCTTTATCAGCAATATTTACTCTTTTGGGCCTCAGATTATTAATTTAATAATAATAACTAGCATTTAGAATCCATATTTATTCCCACTCAAAAAATGGTGACCCAACAGAGTATGGAAATTGTCAAACAGTATCATTAATATCACATACTAGAAAAATCCTGATGAAGATTATCCAGAAAAGACTTAAACAGTGCATTGACAGAGAACTACAAGATAGACAGGCTGGATTTAGAAGAGGCTATGGCACTAGGGACATTATTGCCAGTGTCAGATGGATCTTGGCAGAAAGTGGAGTGTTTCATTGACTATGCAAAGGCATTTGACTATGTGGATCACAATAAATTGTGGTAAACCTTGAGGAAAATGGGAATCTCAGAGCACTTGATCGTGCTTTTATGAAACCTACACTTAGACCAAGAAGCAGTCCTCAGAACAGAGCCTGGAACACTGCATGGTTCAAAATCAGGAAAGGAGTGTCTCAGGAATGCATCCTGTCCCCATAACTTTTCAATTTGTATGCAGAAAAGATCATTTGGGAAGCAGGGCTTTATGAGGATGAGTGTGGCATCAAAATTGTAGGGAGACTTATTAACAACCTATGATAAGCAGATGACACCACCTTGCTTGCTGAAACTGAAGAAGACCTGAAACACTTGCTGCAAAAGGTCAAGGACTGTAGTCTTCAGTATGGATTGAAGCTCAAAATCAAGAAGATTCTCACCACTGGGCCAATTGGCAGCACCATAATAGATAGAGAAGAGATTAAAGTTGTTAGCAATTACTTAGCAATTAGCTTGCTCGGATCCACAATCAATATTCTTATCACCAGCAGTCAGGAAATCAAAAGACAAATTGTTGTTATGTTGTTGTTATGTGCCGTCGAGTCGCCTGCGACTCATAGCGACCCTATGTACAACAGCCCTAAACTCCGCTCTGTCCTGTGCCAATCGCACTG